CCCCACCACTTCAAGTTGCAAAATCAGAAGCGGCGAACAGGGCCGTCGGGAGAGGCATCCAGGAGAGGCACACGCCGGACACGCACACGCAGGCAGACACGCGCGCACACGCCCGGCACACGGCTCCCCACTCGCGCACACGCACACGCACGGGCACAGGCACAGGCACACGCGGTCCGGGCGCTACGGGCGCGGAGGATGCGCAGGCATAGAGGAAGCCGGGGCGCCGCCGCGAAGCTGGATCCGGAGAAGCAGAAGCAGGAAGAAGAGGAGGAGGAGGAGGAGGTCGCCGCTCGCCGCCGCCGGGGCCCGGCCGCCGCCGCAGTGCTGCCGCCGCTGCCGCCGCCGCCGCTGCGGGCTCTCGGGGCGCCGGGCCGGGGAGCGAGAGGTGGAGGCGGAGAGCGGAGAGATCAGGGCACGGAGGTGTCCGGGGGCCAGGTCCAGGGCAGGGCGCCGTCAGCCATTCAGCGCGGCGGAGCCGGGGAGCGCGGCGGGGGCGGGCGGGGAGCTGAGGCAGTTTGATCTCGTGTCGGCGGCGGCGGAGGAGGGTGCCGGGCGCTGCTCTTTCTCTCGAGCTCGGCGCTCGCGCTCTCTGTGTCTCTCCTCGCTCTCGCTCTCTCTCTTTCTCTCTCTCTCCTTCTTCTTCTTCTTCTTTTTTTTTTTTTTTTCAAAAAAAAAAAAAAAAAAGAAAAATTACAAAAAAAAAAAAATCGGATGTGACTAAATTCGCAGAGGAGACGAATTCACGGCGAAGTGTAAAAATAGAGGACGGGAATAATAATGGCACACGCAGGAAAAAGAGAGATCCAAAGTAGGTCGGGTAAATAAATCCTCTTCTTTTCCTCTTCCTTGCCCCTTCCTTCTTCTTCTCCTCCTGTGCGAACACACGGTGCTGGCGAGGGGAAAAAAAAAAAAAAAAAGAAAGAAAAAAGAGCGGTGGAGATCGCCCCCCAGAAGGTCCTCTTTTTTTTTTGTTTGTTTGCCTAAAAAAAGTATTTCGGGTAAAAACTCACCAGCCGGCAGCAAAACCCTCCCCCAAAATAAAAAAAAAAAATCGGCGAGAACGGTCAAAATGAGAACGGCATCACGGTGGGAACGCGCCCGCTCGCTCTCGCTCCGCTCTGCCCCCCCGGCTCTCGCTCGGCTTTTTCCCCTTTTTCCTTTCTTTCAGATTTTTTTTTTTTTTTTTTTTTT